AGCTTTGAGATTTGCTGGAGTTTCTTGCAGATTATCACGTCCGCATTCGGCCTTGGCCCAGGCCATGCATGCATCAACAAAAGCCGATGCACTGCACTTCGGAGTCACCAACTGAATGACTTTGTCGAGCAGTTCGCGATTGCATTCCAAAAAACTGGTCGATTTCAAAATTGCTTCCGCGTTCGATTTGATTTTTTGCTCGCAGAACTGTATCGTGTTCGGTATCTCAGGCAGCATGGCCAACGCATAGCCGGAACACATCTCGTTGTTGGTGGATGACTTTTGCAATGGCTCTTCACAGATAGCCAGCCCTTCCACTAGCTCGTACTTCTTGCACAAATTCGACACATCAATGATGTGCTCGGACGTGAGTCGAACTTTAGCCAAATAGAAGAATTGCAGGAATTCCTTGAACGCTGCAGCATATGCATCAACGATTGGGACGTCACCTTGTTCGGGCAGTGAACCATAGAACATCTTATCAAACACTGGGCTGCTGACCGACAGGATATTCTTATGAGCAGGAACAGTTTCAACGTGGTCAGTGCCTTTGCCAAACACAAATTTCACATCAGCCGTTTTCGCATCCAAGTACAACTTTTCGGAATTGTTGCGAGTCAAGTGGTTGTCTTTTTCAAACACGTTGTCGGCCATTGCTGTTTCGGATTACAAAAAAATACATTCAGAACTCAAACAAGACTATGAGTCATAGCGCCTTGCGCATTGTGAAAACAAATTTATTTTTAAAATTTCATATCAAAATACTCACTACACGAAAAATCTTTTGATTGCTTTGATGTTTCGAATCCGAACGTTTCAATTGATTTTTTCGATCAGAAATAATTACTTTGAGACTATTTTTGTTGCGAAATTGCTTACACTCTGAATGGAATGACTCATTTATTATCTCCTTTACACAATGTGGAAAGAACTGTAATGTGTATTTTCCCCACTAAATGTTGACATATCTCGTAACCTGAATTCAATGATCATTAAACGCGTTCAGTGGATCTGTTCAAGTTTCAATTCTTTCACTGTCAATACTACCAATTCAAATTTCTTTCAGAAAAAAGTGACTACGAAATAACGAGAAAAAAAATTGTTTGCATATTTCAAACCAGAATGTTTTCATAGAAAAAGCTTACTTTTTATTTTACGCTTAGGTGCACCATACTGCACTCCAACACTCGCTTACCAAGGATATTTTTGTTTATATATGTATATCGTGTGTATCGTGTCTATGCGTTGTTTAAAAACTCAAGTTTCCCGCTTTGAAAAGGAAATTATCCAATCCGATTGTTTAATACAACTGAGTGTATTTTTGGTGGAGTAAACTTCAGTTTGTGGTAATTTTATATATGTATATATAATTTAACTACTGAAATTGTATTTGCTCATAAATAGAAAATCGTCTCCAAACAAAATTTTTCATTTGGAATTCGAATTCCTATCTATTCTGCATTCATGTTGACAGCGCAAAGCGCACTCTGTTTGGATGATGACATTATGTAGCTACTCATTAAACAAAACGACGTAGACTACAGCATATCATTGACAAGTGATTCAGATCATAATTTACAAAAATTTCATTGAATTTGTGGATTTTTCTTCGTATTTATTGAGATTTATATCAAAAGTGAGCTCTACCGAATCATTAAAATACAATCGCAATAGAATTTATCAACTCAAGAACGAAGACTGTACAATTAGTTGAGAATTTCACAACGAGTGTTTTCGCTGGTAGACAGCAATTGCGCAATAAGTCTTTTGAAGCAGCCATTTTTAGGGTATGAATCATTTGCTGACAAAAACACTTCTCTTGTTTATTGTTCGTTCATCTTAATAAATTGTGCAGTATTCGAATCGAATCGCATGTTAGTAACCAATTGGTATTCTTCGCTTTTCCAGAACGATCATTTGCGCAGCGTGAATTAACAGCCATGCTTTGGGAACAGAATGACGAACCGAATAAGTCGGCGTTCGAGAAACTGAAGGATGAATGCTGCTACGATATTCTGCGCCGGTTGCCACTAGATGACTTGTGTGCCCTCAGTAGTACCTGTACTCGATTGCACAGTTTGTGCGGCCAACAGTTTCAAGAAGAATATCCATCGAAGGTCATGCGCATTGAATCGATTCAAGAAGACGGCACATGGGTAAAAGAGCCACGCGATGAAATGTACATCAAGTGTTTTGACAAAAGCATCCGAAATGTGATCCTGAACGGTGATGGCCTGGAAACAAAGTTAGACTTGGTCAATGAATTCTACAAGGGCGAAGAGATGGAGGGTGTTGTGAAGGAAATCCACTTCAACGATTGGCGCAGATTGGATGGTGCTGGTATCAAACTTGTCGACATGTTGAAATCCGCTGAGACCATCACCATCGATTATGCTGCCATCGTCGAGGATCCGTACGATGGCATTTTCAAGTATGCACCAAATCTGAAACACTTGAGAGTTCGATATTTGAATTTCACAGGCACCGACTGGTTGCAACAACGATACGCCAAACTTGAAAGCCTCGAGTGGCATTCACCTTCGCAGCGTCCAGATGCTGACAAAATAAAATCATTGCTCGACACCAACCCAAACATTCGACGATTCTCACTACTTTGCACAAATGTGGATGACATCGTTCAATTGATGGCAAAGAATGTGAAAATTGACGAACTAATCCTGCATTTAAGTAGAAGTCCAAGTGGAGATGCATTAACTGCTGATGGCATCCAGTTCAATTATACGATGAATATTCTGATGAAGTTGGTCGCTGCTCAAAATGTGAACTTGCATCTGGTGGTTTCCAAAGCTGATATCATTTCGCAACTGGCATTCCTTCATTCAAACCTAGTCGGTCTCCATTTCAACGTTTCCATTGACGAGGTGCTTACCACAATGTATACATTCAAAAATCTCCAGTTTTTGCGGATCGCAGCATCACATTTACCGTTTGCACACACCGATTTGATTGCAAAGATGCCCAACTTGACTGAATTGTACATCGACGAAATTTCATACTTCAATTTCCAAAAATTTCGTTGCAATATGTTGGCTGCTGTTCGCCAATTGGTGAAACTAACGAAAATCTTTCTCAATGGTTCCACAGACCAACTCACCAAGATCAATTTATTGGCATTGAACCGGCAACGCATGGAACTTCATGGCGCTGCCCATTTGAAGATCTACATCCATTCAAAGGATTTTTTCGCTAGTTTCCCGGTCAAGTTCGTTGAATTCAAAATGATCGAAATTATTGCAGCTGAATCTGAACCGTCCAACTATCCTTTTTTTCATGTTTGGGCATAAAGCTGTTTGCGCTAACGCAAATAACCACCACCAGGCTGGGGTGAGTGTTACGATCGAAACGGTTGAAGTGGATGATGGTGATTGGAAGGATAATCAGGCTGAACCGTGTGGCGCGAGTGGCACGATTGCAGCGGTTGTAGCAGACGATTCGAAAATGGACTGATCGAACGATTTCTGACGAGAAAAATTGGCTTAAATCCAAATATTCAACAAGAAATATTATGATTAGATATGATCTCAAAGCAAAAAAAAAGCATCGAAACATTCAGTTGTAAAAGCATCTCTTTATTCGTATTCATAATCAACATAGAAATTTAAGAAAAAGTCTCATTTTTACTTATTTTACATAATCTTCTAGTTTATTTTTCTCGTAATCAATTTACATTAATCGTTATCTATTTTCCATGCATGCAACACGGGAAGACATGATTTTTCAAAACTTTAATAAATATTTTGATTGACTCTTTAGAATGTAAACAAAACTCCCTATCGTTCTTAATTGTCTTTTTCTTGACTATTTTAATTAGTATTTATCTCATTCTTCTTGTGAAGCTAATTAATAATGGGCTTTAATTCATATTTCATTCAAGATAATTGATAGTGGCCACCTTATATTTTTTTGGGTAAGTAATTCAATGAGATTTTGGGAATGACGCTCATCAAATATTATTCACAAAGCTATGAGTTATAGTTAGACAGTTTGGAGCAAGATGAATCCAAAGACATAGACTCGATCCGTTTAGTTTTCGTTAGCATGCATGATGCATGCATCGTTGAAAACTTCTCAGCCTTGGAAATATGCATTTTCAAATGATGATCTTAATTCTATTTCATTTTTCTAATATGATTCCACGGCTAATAAATGAATTATTAAAGAAAAAATGTCAGTATAAAATGGAAAATCTCTTTAATTCTGAAAATCACTTTTTAGTTTACCACAAAATTGTCAGGAAAAAAACCAAACCAACCGGTCTACATTTCGTGTAGTGCAAAAAATGACACAACTTATTTCTACCAAAACAATTCATCTCGTTAAGGAAGGAAAACTTCGAATAATCAATCAGCGATTGGACGTTGAAACACAAGCATTTCTTAAGGTAATCATCGACGAAAGATATTTTGATTGTATCTTTGATTATTCTTTGATTTGTATTTTTTACATAAACGATGTTTCAAGTCAGATTGCTGAAGTTCTAATTAAAGACATATGGAATTTATTTGATGGATGAACTTAACATATTTTGAATTACACAAATTGTAATGAATAAACTGACTTAATCTGTAACATATCAATATTGAATCTATGCGAATTGAGCAGATGTTAAGCCTAACAAAATCTAGTTGTATTTTATTCTAATAATCGGAAATGTTACGGTTAATGCAATGAAAACGAAAAAGTAGCATAGATAAAGAGATAAAGAGCATCATTCTCTTGGATATTGAGTTATTGAATTGGTCGCAAACCATTTTAATGTTGTTCTTAGGGATTTTGAAAAATCAGTCGTGGTACTGGTCCATAATTGCTGGTAAAGTCTAAATTCATATTGCACGTTTGGTTCCGTTGCAATGGGTTCTTTGAGAACGCCGTGAATCCCGTGATATTTATTACTCTGAGTTGATGTCATTTCTACGCTCTGTAGAAATTCGGTTCCACGGTAAACTGATGCACGTACGTCTTCCATCAGACCAGAATTTCCAGATATTCCACCACAATGAATTTCGGTAAACAGAAGACTTTTGGTTGAACTGAAGAATGATGATAGTGAAGTAGAATTGATGTTATATCTATGTTCATTTTCGTAGCCATAATGTTGAAGTTTACAATGATTCTGAATGAAACGATCACAATACAAAGCAGATGCTCGTTCAATGGCCTTCAGAGTGATTGCAGCTAAATCTCATAATTGATCGAATTGTTTTCTGTTCAATCCAGCAAATGGAATGCGACCGAATAATTGTCCCAGTTGAGCTTTGAGA